AATAATCCATCACTACACAAATGTACCTGTTTCCACCACGAGTTTGGGGCAAAGGACCAGCAATGTCAATGGCTACTTTCTCCATTGGTACACCAAATTTATATAACTTCATTGGAGCACATCCCTTATGCTTGGGTCCCCTTTTAGCACAACATGTACTGCATGTCCTGCACCATTCTTACACATCTTGCCTCATACCTATCCAGTAAAATCCCTGTCATAGGTGACTCAATGTTTTCTTAACTCTGAGATGTCCTCCTGTTAAACTATCATGGGATTGACAAAGCACAACTTCCCGTAACTTTCTCGGTATAACCATTTGCCAGGTCGTCACTTTCCCATCTCCGGACAAGAATACCATCTTCAAGCTTCAACTGGTCCAATTGTGCCCAATAATTCTTTGTCACAGGGCTTAAGCTAGACACCTTCTCCCAAGCAGGGCGCAAAACACTTGCTTGTAGAAAATCAATTATTGGCTTCAAATCTTGGTCTTTCTCCTGTTCTGCTTTAATATCTATACCTTGTTCCACTTCACCATCATCAACTCCTTCAGTCACTTAGACTTCAGCTTGATGGCACCTGGTTAGTTCAACATCTCTTTTGCAACAATGTTTGCAGGGTCTTCGGCTCAGTCTATCAGCATTTTTATGATATTTTCCTTCTCTATATTCAATATCATAATTATACTGGTCTATCTTTCCGATCCAACGTGCCAGTTGTCCCTCTTGGGATGGAGTTTGAGGTTTGCTGCTTCCAAATGCTTGAATACTTCCTCTAGCCGGCACATTTCCTCATAAAATGATGTTGCAAACACAATGACATCATCCAGATACACTAGGGCTATTCTCCATTGTAGGCCTTTCAGTACTCTTCCATTAGCCTCTCAAATGTTGCTGTCGCATTGCTTAGCCCGAATGGCATCACACGGTTTTCCCAGAGACCTTGGCCATAACTAAATGCTGTCTTGGGTTTATCTGCTTCAAACATTTTCACTTGATGGAAACATGACTTTACCTCCAGAGTTGAAACTCACCTGGCTCCACTTAGGGCAAAGAGTATCATCAATTCTTGGCAGTGGGTACGAGTCTATTTCGGTAATACTGTTAAGAGCTCTGAAGTCCACACAGCGATGTTGGGTCCCATCCTTCTTCTGGACTAACACGACAGGAGCTGACCAGGGACTATCTGATTTCTCGACTAACCCTTCCTTAATTAAGCCATCCATGACCTTCTCCATCTCTTGTTGCTTTGCTAGAGCTATTCTCCTTGGAGGGATCATTATTGGATGGTGATTGTCTGTGT